CCGCGTCAAGAATGGGGCGGCCAAGCTGCCCAAGCCGCCCGCCGCCGCTGCTGCGGCCGAGGCGCCGGGTGCCGGCGCGGGCATGGAGCGCTCGCAGAGCCGCCTCAGCCTGTCCGCCTCCTTCGAGGCGCTCGCCATCTACTTCCCGTGTATGAACTCCTTCGACGACGAAGATGCGGGTAAGCTTGCGGTCCGACCCCCCCCCCATCCCCGGGGGTGTCCGAGGCCCCCTCCCCGACCCGCGGCGCCCTCGGAGCTGGCCACTCGTTCACCCCACCTCCAGCTCAGCTCGAGGATGCTCCCGTGGGGTTTGCTTGCCGGCCCAGGGCACCCCAAGGTCTTGAGACCCCTAGATCATCTACACTTCCCCCTTGTCTGCATACCCTTTGGGGTCCTTGGAGTCTGCTCTCCCTACTCACCTGCACCCACAGGATGCCCCTGCCTCAGTCCTAGCGCCCTGAGGTTCCTGTCTGAGCTCACTCTCCCACCTTCGGGATTCTGGCTGCCCCACCCCTGGGGCGCCGACGCGCCCCCAGCCATTGGGGGTGGAGCGCAAATCTCATCTCTCCATCTTTGTCTTGGCTGCATCAGAGGCTCCCTGCTCAAGACCCTCGCCTCCCGCGCCCAAGGCCTTGAGCGTCCCCATTTGTCCCTCCTTTACTCACCCCACAGGCTGGGTCTCCGACTCTGGGTTTTTATCAGACTGAGTCGGGCCACGGGAACCAGCGGGGTGGCAGCCTTTCCTCCGGGTTCCTCCCCGCTCCTCCAGGAAGGAGGCGCCAACTTTGCTCTTTCGCGCCCTTCGGGCTGCAACCTGAAGGTCTCCAGGGAGTATCCCTTCAATTGGCCCGAACCCGACCACCATCCAGCCGCTGAGTCTCTTGCTTGCAGGCCTGCACACACCTCTGCCAGACTCAGGGTAGAGGAAACACAGGGAAACCTGCTCTTTGGGGCCCTGGGACCAGCTAGAAGAGGGAACGTGAGCGTCCCAGTTTGGTTCTGGGATGAGGACCAGAATCATCCTACAGCTGGGGAAGCTAGAGGCCTGGGCGAGAGTCGTCGTCCCCCCCCCCGAAAGAATGTCGGATTTGGAGTCAGAAGCAGGTTCCAGACTTGATTCTCTATTAACTCTGACCTTGGGCAAGTCATACTACTCCTGAGCTTCAGTTTCTGCATCTGTAAAATGGGGACAAAGAGTGCCGCATACACAGGGTTTATATAGTGTGAGTGTGGAGTGAAAAGTGTCTTGTAAGAGGAAAATTTGTGAGTATTTGAATTCAATGAGGGGACCAAACAGCTTACGTAGGGGGAGGAGCAAAATGGTTTTACCAGCACTTTTGAAAATCTGCTAAACCTAGGGATTATCTTCCCACCCCTCCCCACCCCCGCCCCCGCAAATGCCAATATCTGCCATCCCACAAAATTTTGCTTACTGTTTTAGGGAGTTCATGAGCCTGGGTTAAGACTCCCTACCTTCAGGGACCTTTAACCCACCGACCCAGATAAACCATGGGGATGGAGGAGTGAGTTGGGAAAAGGGAAGAAGGGTCTCTAGAATAATTTGTTGGCTAAGTGAATGAATGGGTAGTGGTAAGGTAGACCCCTAGATCAGGCCTGTGGTGCTGATGAGCTGGAGATGGAAGTGGACTAAGGATGGTTACTACAGAGCCAATCTTGAGTCCAATGGTGTAGAAACAGCAACTGAGGTGCCAAGGCTTAATTTCCCCCTGAATATAGCTGTTGTTGTTGTTAAGTGTTGTCGAGTTGGTTCTGACCCATAAGGACTCTGTATATGGTTTCCAAGGAGCAGCTGGTAAGCTTGAACCACCGACACTGTAGTTCAAACCAACTGTGCAGTACAGCGCATTATCCCACAGCGCCACACCAGGACTCCTGGATATAGCTGAGGGAGGTTGTATTCTTATTTTGCACAAGGCAAGGTGAGGAGGAATGTGGTGGTTCCACTGGAACATAATCCAAGAGAGGCAGGCCTGGGGGCCAAGGGAAGGAACAACTGCTGATGGAAATGAGGCAGGAAGCCCCCTGCCTGGTCTAGATGAGCTAACTCCCACTCCTCAATTGATGGTTAGGGACTCTCCTGAACTTCCTGAGGCCCCTCTGTCTTGAGTCAGGTTTGTAGCAGTATTGGAAGCTGATGCAGTTGGACTGTTCTCTAAAGCAGGGGCGCCGAACCTTTTTTTTGCCAAAATCTATAACATCATTTACAGGCTATACAGAATTATCAACTTAAAAATTAGCCTGCTGACTTGCAGGATGTGCCCTTTGGTTGTTTAAATTATTCTATATTCCTGGGTGTTTTGGTGTACATCTCCCCAAAAAACCCCAAAAACCCAGAGGGAATAGAAGCAAATACTGTTGAATGATGATGCACGGAGGGAATTGTAATCATTGCAATGAAATGATTAATGTAAAACCAACGTTCTTCCATGTAAACTATCACTTAATTCACAATAAAAACTTTAAAAAAATTAGCATACTGTATTTGGTCAAACATTTAATTAACTCACCCCCAATGTGATGGCTGGAACTGTGGTTGCCTTGGCAGGGCCAGACCAAATGATTTCGTGGGCCTTATATAGTCTGTGGACTTGTGGTATGGTGCTGTAGGATCAGCACTGGACTGTGAGACAATAAGGTCAGCAGTTCAAACCCACCAGCTGCTCCTCCAAAACCCTATACAGGGTTGCTATGAATCAGAACCAACTCAACAGCACTTAACAAGAAGAACAACATATGGTCTGTGAGCCAGATGTTCCTCATCCCTGCTCCAAAGTTATGCTGCACGTCACACATAAGAACGATGTGAGGATGGCTCAGGACTGGGCAGTGTTTTGTACACAGGATCCATATGAGTTGGAAATGCATCGACGTCACCTAACAATGACATGCTCCTTGTCATAGGCCAGCATGTTCTCTAGTTTCAGTGAATTCAGAACATATAACTTCATGTAATAGAGATATTTATCAAGGTCCATCTGATTAGTTTTTCCAAAGGGTTTCTTCAAATTGTTCAGTTTGTTACTTGGAAGAGACTTAGAAATGATCACCTAACACCTTCTTGCCTCCAAGTGGATGGGAAGCTGAGTTCCTGAAGTGTGTGTTTCAAAGTCTACCCAGTAAGGCAGGCACAGAGCTGAGACCCAAATCACATTTCTGGTTCTTTTTCTAATAAACCAGTATCCCTCCCTCTGAAAGAGGATGAAAAAAAACAAAACCCCAAATCTCACTGTGTAGAAAATGGTTCCCAGTTGAGGAGGCCTCAGGGAGCTGCTGGCAGCCCAGAGAATTTGATTTTTGGGTATCTCAAGCTCCCTGTGTCTGCTCATCTTGAGGGATGCCTTGAGTTGGAGAGGGGGAGGGAGAAAGTCAGGTTTCATTTCCGGCAGAATAATGAGTGTCTAGTGAAAATCGGAACTAGAGAATGCTGTCTTGGTGCTTCATTCTCTTGTTCTTCTCAAAGTCATTAATTTTCACCTAAAGAAGCCTTTTGGATTTAGTCGTTTAGAGCAGTACCATGCTGAACTAATTTCTAGAACCAGTTGAATCTAGACAGGACTCAGCTTGGGAGGGCGGTCACAAATGGCTTTGCTTGCTCTTCCTCCCCCCCCCCAACACCTTCCTCTATTTAATGTTCCTCACTCTCAGGAGGTGCTCAGGAGACTCCCCTTTGCTACTGCCCCCAACTCATGTCGAATGCATCTTTCTCAACATTCAGTTTGCACTTGAGCCATCTTCAGGGTCTACATGGCACTCTTTGGCTAGTTTCCTGAGAAATGGGGTGAAAAGGTGCCTTTTTCATTAGCCTTAAGTAGGCCAGAGCACTCTCCTGCCCAGGGCTCTTTCCTCCCATCCCTTTCTAAGCACCCTGGGACTCTGGCCATTTTAAGTTCCTGGAATGCCTCTTAAGGGGATCTTTTTAAAAAAACTTTTTATTGTGAATTGAGTGAAGGTTTTCAGAGCACATCATCAGTTTTAAATTCAACAAATCATACACTTCGGTTCAACTCAATGATTGCTATCCCCTCAAAGTAACCTCACTTAGTCCCCACTTCCTTCCTGTGTTTCCTGTTTCCATTCTTCCTTTCCTAACCTTCTTAAGGGGATCTTTGTTTGTGTGTGCTGGATTAATTTCTTACATTGCTTTTGTAACCCTTTTCACAAGGATGCAACTGGGGATGTGCTGTGTCTAAATCCTTATCTTTCAGCCTTGCTGGGATTGGGCTTGTAATTGGTGAGGATTTAGGTTGTGTTGAAGTTGGATATGACCTTGGCTTTCTCATCTGTATACGGAAGAGAGGGATAGCATGGACCACTTAGGGTCAACATTTTAACAATATTACATTGTGCTAGACATCTTCCTAGGCACTTCATATATATGATTTCCATTTGTTTCTTATAGCAATCTTGTAACATTAATATCCTAATTTTAGATGGGAAACTGAGATACAACAATCATAAAGTAATTCTCTCCAGGTTTTTTAGCCAGAAAATGAGGGAGTTGCGTTTGAACTTGGGCGATCTGACATAAGCATTTGTATTCTGAATTACGCTGTTTCTGCTGTTCAAAATTACTTAGCACAGTACCGGGCACAAGATAGACTCTCAATGCATGTTTCTTGTTAGCTATCTTCCAAAGAAGAGCAGTTTCTGAACATGACTATACGAAGAATGTGTGGGTTTGGGGAGGAGTAGAAGCCTGGTCTCAAAATATTTTACAATTTTTATAGATGATTGTTATTACATTGTTGTAATTATTAAGTCAGAGCTGGGGCATCCTTCTTGGAGGTGGTTTAATGATGGGGCCTTGGAGGGGCTTGTATGCCTAACAGGAGAGGGGGTCATTTCAGCTACCCCTTCCCCTCCTCCTCTGTAACAGCTCTGCCTCTTGGCATTGGGGCACAGCTGGATAGTAGAGATGTCTCTAGTTTCCAGAAAATGCCAAAGATGGGTGTTACATCGGGGTCTGGCGTTGAGGATGGTGAACCTGAGCCTGACTGACTAGATTAGCGTCCAGTCCCGCTCCCCCTCCCCAAGAGAAGGGCGGAGAAGCTGGAGCAGTCAGCTCCGATTTGCCCATAGGATGCTTGGAACCAGCGCAGGGAGGAGGTTGCCATGGCAACACAGGCCGGCTACCAGTCCCTCTCCTAGTGGTGTAGGC